AAATCTTTGCAAACAGCCTATGTGTTCCCCCTCTTTCTAGTTTGTTATATATGAATCCCTAGATTTTGTGGAAAAGCTTTCTATTAGCAGCAGATGTTCATCTATATTTGGCTTTTGTACCAGAAAAAACCAGGTCTGAGTTCATTTGCTAGTGATCCTGTGGCTGCTGCCGATTCTCTTCTACCACTTCTAAAGGACGCAGAGAATGTAGTTCCACGCAATTTGCGCAGTAATACACCAGTGAGAGTTGGGGTTAGTGAACATTGTATAAAGAAATTTCGTATAATTGAAGTTTAAACTTTTTAGCCTGCCCATAGGCTCAATACTGATAGGCAGTTTATCTAGGCCACTGCAGGTTTGAGGCAGTTGGAAGGTGATGCATCTGACAGGATTCTTCAAGCGGTAAGATTGTTTTACATCCTAGACCTTCATCTGTTTGGGCATGTCTTGTGTTACAATTTTGAAGTGGCTGTTTCTACTTAAGTTTTTCAGTACTTAGAACAAATATAAATGTGTTTTGAAGGTGAGGGATTTCCTGAAGAGCAAAAGCAGCTTCAAAGCAAAAGCGGACGCGGTCACTGTTCTTGATGGAAATCAGGAGGGTGCTTACCAGTGGGTATGTGAATGAACTTCAAGCTGTTATGAGCTTCTCTATAGATTAAAATATTATTTGACACAAGAGTTGCTTCCTTAATATAACTTTGAGCTCTTTATAGCTTATTAAAAGAAAAGTGAACATTGATTCATTTTTCTGGTTGTTAGTGAATGTAGTTCTCTCTGACGTGATGTTGATTAGTTTAGTCTTGGTTATTTTTTTTTTTTGCTAAGTTTTAGCATTATCAGCATGATAAAGAGTAAATTTTTAGTTTTAGTACTGACTTTTGAGGAATAGACAAAGTCACCAAATTATTTTTTTTAAAAAAAGAGTAAATTTTAGTTCAAGTTCAGGTTTAAAGATGACAAAAGTAGATTCTCTTTTCTCTCTTTTCTAAAGCAAAAGGAAGAGTTGTTGTCCTTACATAGATAATTCAATTTTATTAATGAACATCATCAAATTCCTTTTAACAATTCAAATAAATAGCAACATAGCGAAAAACAAGTTTAATAATATCCATGTCAAGGTGGAACTGTTGAACCCGAGAAGGACTTGCATTTATTTGATGAGCAATTTAATTTATCGACAAAATACAACTAAAGGGCTTCTTTCTCCATCTAAAACACTTTCTTCTCATGATATTAATTTTCCAACCTTTGATTTCTGGTAGAAGTATTACGGTCTCCTAAAATATTCTGTTTTCTACCCTATGTTGTTTGAAATTAAAGATAGGTTAATAAATAGAATGAATTGCCCTATGCAATTGAACATTGCCTTAGACCATTTTGGCAATATTAGTAATCCTGCGTGAGAAGCAGCAATCCATTAGAACCGTAGAGAGTGAGGATGTTAAAGAGGGACGGGACCTAAAATCAAATGAAAGGAAATTATCTTGTAAGACCTACATTCTCTTGGATCTCTGCAAGCTTAGCAAAAAATAGGGCACATTGGAAGACAAATTTATATAGGATACCAATTTATTGGGAATATTTTTAGTCATGGTAGTATGATTACTTTAATTCCTATGTTTTCAGTCTTTTAGTTTGAGATTTTTAATATATTAGTCGAAGAAGATATATAGAACTTTTAGAGCTTCTACATTTTTTTAATTTTGTATAACTTTGATCTCAGTTGATCTTGAAAGAAGCGATTCAATTAGAGAGGCAAGTAAGGTGTGGTTATGTAGTAGTAATCCTGCATGACAAAAACAAATCAATAAATCTCCCCTTCACTTTTATCCTTTGAAGCACTAGAGTGGCATTGCACATTTTAAGGCGTTCTGTTTAGAAGTATGTACAATGAATACTTTGTGAACCATTTCTCACTCAAAAAAAATTTCTGAGATCTGACAATCAAGTATCTTTGGATGCAATTTGGAGAATATATTAGAAAAGGTTGCAAAGGCTACTTTCTTCACTGAAAATGTTCTACTATTTTGGATTATTTGTGTATTTGAATAAAAATGGTAATACTTTTATTACTCTTTGATCTTCAACCCCCCAACCATATTAGTTACAATTTGTGTCACCTCATGTTTCAGTCTAATATATGGGTCAACCAATTGTATAGCCAGCTGATTTTTTAATTTCTGATACTAATGCAGGTAAGCATCAATTATTTATTGGGCAAATTGGGAAAGAAATACTCTGATACAGTTGGAGTGGTTGATCTTGGTGGTGGATCTGTGCAAATGGCGTATGCCATCTCAGAGTCAGATGCCCAAAAAGCTCCAAAGGTATCAGATGGAGAGGATACATACGTTCAGGAAATGTTTTTGAAAGGGACAAAATACTACCTTTACGTTCACAGGTCCTTCTCATCCTCTATACATAATTATGTGATGATATTAGAGAATGTCAGCATATCCATTTTGTGCTCTCCAACTTTTTGATCAGGATGAACCTGTGATCCATCTAGTGGCAAGAACATATTTGTCTTGTTATTCAGAGTGGGCTTATCTTGTACTTCGTCATCTTCATTGTACAGGCTTAATGTGATCTATATTTATTGCTTACAGCTATTTGCACTATGGCTTACTAGCAGCTCGAGCTGAGATCTTGAAGGTTTCTGGTGAATCTGGAAGTCCTTGCATCTTGGGAGGCCACCACGGTATTTCTCTCTCTCTCTCCTGGTGCAATGATTATTCTATACTTGCTTCTTTTGATGCAGTGCTTTCAGAAGCATCATTTCTATCTGTAAGACATAAAAGCGGAGGTTAACAAAGAGAAAAAAACTCCCCCCTACCCTTAACTGAATTGTCATATCTTATCTTAGTCACACAGATAAGTTGCAGAAATAGGAGCACTGGGTCCTTAATTTACATTGAGCCTGTATACTGTAATTAGAAAAGTAAGTATTCATTTTCCTGGATTAGCAAGTATCTCATTGAAGATGAACAATATCATTTTGCAGGGACATACAAGTATGGAGGAGCAGTTTACCCAGCATCGGCCACGTCTCAAGGTTCAAGCATGAGTACTTGTAGGGAGGTAGCTCTAAAGGCTCTGAAAATTAATGAACCAGCATGTACCCACATGAAGTGTACCTTTGGTGGCGTGTGGAATGGTGGAGGAGGAGATGGACAGAAGAATATGTTTGTTGCTTCGTTTTTCTTTGACAGAGCTGCTGAGGTATGAATCCCTGTAGTTAAATCTAATGAGTTAAGAAACTTCTCTCCCTTGTATGTCTCTGACACAAATGTTATATGTTGTGGGCATAGGCTGGTATTATAAATCCAAGTTTAGCTGTTGCAAAAGTTCGCCCAGCTGATTACGAAAGTGCAGCTAATCGTGCTTGTGCAACTGGACTTGAGGGTGCGAAATCTGAATTTCCTCGTGTAGAAGCTGATAACTTGCCATACCTATGCATGGATCTCGTCTATCAATACACTCTACTTGTAGATGGATTCGGTGAGTAAAAACTTTCATATTTCAGTAAAAGTTCACACGAAATTCATTTCAATTACGTTACTCAATACTATTTCTTACTTTGCAGGACTTGAACCTCATCAAGAAATGACATTGGTGAAAAAAGTTGAATACAAGAATTCCTTTGTTGAAGCAGCATGGCCATTAGGCAGTGCCATTGAAGTTGCATCATCATTGAGTTAAACTTAACTGGGAAATGGAAAGGATAGGTTCCATTCATGCAATTTTGGGTTTTAATAGTTTATGTATTTTTGACTTGCAGCTTCTGATAAGCCTATTAGGTTAATGTTCTGAAGCAGAAGGGATTGCCATAGTCCATAGCAGGTTGAGATTCTTTATTTTTCCCTTTTTTATTAAAAGGGAATCAAGAATAGTGATAAATCTGTTTGTAATCATGTATTATGAGAATTATGCACTATTTAAATGAGATCAATTTTTGATATATTTATCTTTATCATTCAATTTTAGGCATATATTTATCCTAAACTATTAACTCTCATTTCACCACGTTCAATAATAGAAGTTGGTGATATGTAACTTAACGGTTTAAAAACAAATACATACCTTAAGTTGGATGACAAAGGTAAATATATCAGATGAATGAACCCTTTTTCGAATTTAAAACAAATGTATTGCATACAAACATCTATTTATCACTTAATTATAGTTAAGTGATTAGTTCTTTCACATAAGTTCTTAATCGGGGTGGGCATTCGATAATTCGGTTCGATTCGATTTATATTATTTCGGTTTAATTTATATTATTTCGGTTTGGTTTTATTATTTCAATTTTCTAAATAGGCCTACTTAGTGGGTTTTTTAAAATTTAAAAATTTACAAATTTTTTTATTTGATTTTTCAGCTTAATGGACTAAAATAGTTACATCAAAGAAATACTTTTTACTTCTTAATTTTTTTATTTTAAATTATAATATTTATTTATTTAAAATTAATAATTAATATAATATAAATATATATTATAATATAATATATTTCGATAAATCGAAAGACCAAATAACACAAAATTACATACTAAAAATCAAACTGAAATGCAGAAAAATACAAAAACGTATACCGAATCAAAAATCGAAAACCAAAACCGAAATACTGAAAAAAATTGGTTCGATTCGGTGTTTATGCCCAGCCTAGTTCTTAACAAACTATGAGGTTAATTCGGTAAAAACACTTTATGTGAGCAAATATTTATCATCCCAAACCAGACGTAACCCTAACTGATTTAGAATGTTAGAGTTACCTAAATCTATATATGACAAAAAATAGCAAATTAATCGAGGTGTGCTACAAAACCATCGTTATGAAGAAAAAGAAGTACACAAGGCCAAGAGAATTTGATAAATAAACTTTCGAAACATCAATATTTAGCCTATCGATCAACAAAGTAAATTAAAAATCATAGAATTTTATGTTCAAATAAACAAAATAGATGAATGAGAGATTGAAAAAAATGTATTTAATCATTATGTAAAAAACAAGTGAATCTACTTTGATATTTTCTTCTAAATTAAACCACACAATTAAAGATATGAGCAAGTCACATTCCTAACATTAGAAGGCATAAAAGCTAAGATCATAAGAACAACAAGAATGAAAATTGGGACTAACAACAACATAAAAGGTGGTGGTGGCAATGGTGGAAGCATCAATGGCAAAAGTAACAAAGATGCTGTAAGACCAAGTAACAAAATAATTGACTCTAAGCTAAAATAATTCATTGACAACATTTTCTTGCCATGTCCTTGTGTAAATGATCTCTTATGCTCCATCTTATTGCCTTCCATAATGTTGTTGAAATATTGTTGATGTTCCTCCAAATTAATAAACCCTTTTGATGATCTCAATTTTGCCTCTGATGATTCCATGTCCATGTTCATTACTAGTCGTACGCTCTTACTCAGAAGTCTCGAGTTTTAATTTGGAACCAATCTTGAAACTTAGAGAAGGATATGAGTTTTTCAACCAATCTTGAAATTTCCTAAGAATCTTGATGTGAGGTTTTGAATTCGAGACCTGAATATGAAGTCGTTCTGAGGAATATTGAGTAGTACCAGGACACTTTTTTTTTATGTAGATATCAAAAATCGAATGAATACTGAACTTGAAAATGTGCCAATCTTTAACAAATTTTTTTTTTTGGTGAAATCACAAATCAGTAGATAGTATGAGTTAAATAGAGAAAGTGAAGATTTCTATATGTTGTTTTCACACTAAAGGGTATAATTTAAAGGGAAAAAGGTGAAATGATTTTGGAATGATGTAAGAGCAAAGTTGTGGGAATCTATAGCCTTTTTCTTGGTTTAAATAAAATGTTGATTTTTGACACTGATGTTTATTGGTTTTAGGGGGATTGTATTGTTTTTTGACATTGATATTTCTTGGTTTTGGGGGATTATGGGATAATAGCCTTTGGTTTTTGAGATTTTGATGGATCTATAGTGGTTACAAAGTATCTTTGGAGAATATATTTTGCTAGTTTGGTTTCTCATATATTATATATATATATATATATATAGTAGGTTTTGTACTCCGTCTGTCTCTATTTATATAACTCATTCTTTGAAATCTATCCCAAAAGAAATATTTCTCCAGTTCATTTTATGTGATATCGTTCGATTTTACACGAACCATAAAACTTACTTTAAATCATAAGTTTCAAAAAGAAATTTCATTTTTGTACTCGATATGAAATTAAATTATGTCAGATAAATTAAAACGAAAAAATATTAGGGATGGAAGAAGAGGGGGGGTATGGGGTTAAAGGGGGGTGGGGGTGTTGGAATTAGGGTGGATTCAATGAATTTAAGTAATGAAGTGGGGCTAGATGATTTGCATGTTGATTGTTTTTGGTAAAACAAGAGATTATCACACTATCCAAGGTTCTTCACCCCTAGACAACATTGTCTCTTACCCCCTTCCCCCACACTTTCCACTTGTCCCTCTTGCCATCATTCTTTTTTTATAATAAGAAAAAAGAAATCACTTTTTTTTAAAAAAATATTTATTTCAAATAATTTATTTATTCATCTCAAATTATCAGTTGTGATTTGTAAATGAATTTATAAATTTGAAAAATCGAAATTTTTAACTAAGAATAAAGATAAGAAAGATGTTACATATCTTGATCATTTTTTTAACCATTCGATATTCAAAAGCAGTTATCACATCAATTACTTAATAGCTTGTTCTATAAAGCTTTCAAAATTTGTTTGTTTTTAAAAAAAAAAAAGTATTTCTCAATAATAATAATAATATTTGACTAATTGATTTTTGAATTATTTTTTTATTAATATATTAGAGTAATAATCAAAATTCCAAATTTGGTTTTATTCAAATGAAAACCTAATTATGCACATATATATTTTCTAAAAAGCTTGACCAAGTACATATATCAACTCTTTGAAAATAAACATTTTCTTAATAGAAACACTATACACTATTAGCTTCCTTGCAACTTAACCAAACCAATTATAATTTCAAACTCATTAATATATATATATAAAAAAAAAAACTCCATTGGCTAATGAACAATTCAAAAGAGGAATAAGTGTATAAGTTTTAGTCAAACAATCAAAATGAATTTGTCCTTTGACTTGGAAACAATGAATTCATCTAGTAATTATAAGTCTAGAACCAAGAATTTTCTTGTGCTACATGTTTGACAATTGCTTCATTTTACTTGATTAATGTATATCCATTAATTTGATCTCTAAATTAAAAAAATAATAAAAATATAGAAGTTAAAAGATAAAGGAAATACATAATATATAAAAGTATTCTGTAATTTGAACTAAACTGATATTTATATTCTTTAATTTTTATATATTTATAAAGAGTTATTTAAATTTGTATAAAATTAAATAAATAAATATATTTATTCTGTGTGACATCTTACACGATAGTCTGTATTCTATATAACGTTCTACGTATAATACGCTACTAGCCTACTATGTGTAAAAATATGTGTATTTACTTATTTCATTGTATAAATTAAAGTTTTTATTTGTATCTCAAAATCAAAAATTATAAAAATTAGTTAAAATTAAATTTAAAAACATATTTATGTATTATACGAAAAGAAAAATATACAAAAGTATTGTTCATTATACGTGTTTCCATAATAACATTAAATAAACTTAAATGGACATGGTTTGAAATTATATTTTTTTTTAAAAAGATTCCTATTCATGAAAAAATAAATATTTGAACACTTTCTATTTTGAGTTAAAAATCATTTCTTCTAAGATGCTTATTATATACTTTATTTAATTTATTTATTTATTGCATGTGACCGACCTTTTGATTCAATGAATTTTTCATTTAAAACCTTTGAAGAAATTAATAAATGATTTTTAGCTACTTCCTCGTACAACCAACCTTATTGCATTAAATTCCATGCACTTGCTTTTAAAACATAGATTAATTTTTACGTGTATTTATGAATTCATGTGAATTTAATAATTTTATATATTTATAAATTTATAATATTGAATGAGAATGAAGGCTAGAAAGGTGAAATTAAGAAGAAATATATTGAAATTGACTGAACATCTAAGAAGTAAAGCAATGTTTCAGTGGGGACTATGAGGATGATATCAGATCGAGACGATACGATAAATTTCATCGTCGAGAAGAGCACAATTTGAATCATCAACTATTTTGAAAAAGTTAAAATTAAAACTTGCAACTTCATTTTACATCCTCAATAGACATTAATATTAATTACTCTTTGACACTCAAAATTTTGATAAAAAATCCACATTTTGCTAATATAATTATTGATCTTTAATTTAGAAAATATTTTTCATGATTTTTTAAATTTTCTGAAACATAACTTTGGTATGATACCTAATTATACACTCTTAGGATATGTTAGCCAACCTCATGAAAACAACTAGTAGTAGTCAAATGCATAAAGGAATACCTAAATTTAGGAATGAATACATGAACTTTGATCTGTATTTTTTAATTGTTCATGAACCAAATTTGGATTACAATTAATTAATAATAAAAATGACAGATTAATGCATAAAACATTTTGCATTAGTATGATTTAGGAAAGACCTTCGCGATAAGGAATGTCTTATAGATAATCTAACCTAATACGAGTATTACTGATTCCCTTCACAATTCGAACTCGTAACTTATAGATCACAATGAGATAATTTTATCATTATTTTAAGGCAAAGAAATGTCTTATCGACTATCTAACCTAATATGAGTACTAGTGATTTCTTTCACAACTCGAACTCGTAATCTATAGATCATAATGAGATAACTTTACCGTTATTTTAAGGCAAGAAATGTCTTATAGACTATCTAACCTAATACGACTATTAGTGATTCCTGTAACAATTCAAACTCGTAACCTATATATTACAATGAAATAATTTTATCGTTATTTTAAGGCTCGTCAGTTCCATTATATATTAGGTTGCCATACTAGTTGGATTGTGATTATTTGCCTTTTTTTTTTTGAGTGACATTTGGAAGTGATATTTAACAGTTACTCTGCATCTGACCACATTTGGAAGTGATATTTAAAAGTCCCTTAATTATGAAATTTAATTTCTTATGTCCTAAGTAATAAATGAATAATAGGTAAGTAATTATTTTGCTAGATGTTATTATTGCTTCATAAAGAGACTATCTTTTTAGATGGTGTTTTAAATAAGCTAATGGTACAATTTGATAAGACTTTATTTGTATTATATTGGTATTATCGATGAGGTATATTTTTTTAATATATTTTGTTATTGTTATTGTATATACTCAGAAGACGAGAGAACGATCATCCATCTTAATCTTCTCTTCCAAATTATCAAATATTTACGATGCAAAAATTTATGTCTTGCAAGAAAAATTATTTGCCTCAAGAGATCAAAATTAAACACAAGCACAAATAAGGGTAGAGGTGTCAACGACCTCATTAAAATGGTCAACAATAATAATAACAACAACAAAATTCAATATAATTTCATAACCGAGTCTCGAACTCTTTCGAGCCTAGCCCTAAAAGAGTTGTGGGTTGGCCCATATTAAGCATAAATCTTACATAAGCTAAAAAAGAAGTAAATCCAAACCTATCAAACAAGGCTAGGCTGGCCAGCCCAAATGTCAAAGCCCATAATCTTATGCTTAATAGAGATAATAATAATAATAATTTCGTAGTCGTAAATTCGGAAATTAAACTTATATCTCTATTAACATGTGTTTTATACGAATTGAATCATGTTTCGTAAGATATATTGTGCATTATGAACAAAAGTTATATACATTTAATAAATATAAATTACGTCGAAAATTAAGTTACGCAGCATAACTTATGTTATATTCTGAGTTGAAAAATATAAACTTATATTAGAGCTATTTTCAATCATTTTTAACCGAACGATAAAGAAAAAAAGTAAAAATAAATTTGAAAATAATAATAACTCCATAGTCGTAAACTCTGAAATTAAACTTATATCTCTATTAGCATGTGTTCTATACGAACTAAATCATGTTTCGTAAGATATATTTTTGCGTTATGAACAAAAGTTATATACGTTTAATAATACAAATTACGTCGAAAGTTAAGTTATGTAGCATTGTGATTTGAAAAATATAAACTTATATTAAAGCTATTTTCAATCATTTTTAACCGAATGATAAAGAAAAAAAAGTAAAAATAAATTTAAAAATTATTAATATTTTTTATGGGTTAATTTTATCGCGATAAGTATTAAATGTAATAAGTTTTGTTATACACATTTTAAACAATTGGGTTTAGAGAGTGGTGGTTGACATGCAATTGAGGTATTCCCATAATAATGTCATTTTGATTGGGAAAAAAAAAATTGAGATGAAAGGAGATTTTTTCATCTTTTTGATCTCCTTTCATCGTCCGTCAAAATCCATCTTCATGTATTATTAAGGGCAAATACCTCACCGCCGTCGCCGCCGTCGCCGCCTTCGCCGTTCTCCGTCAACGGTAAGTTCGTTCTTCGTCTTATATAAATCACTTTTTTTCATTAATTCCAATGATGTAGAGTTGAATTTGTGTGTCAATTTTTTTCCATTTAGGTGTTCCTGAATGTCAGAAATTGTTTCGTTTCTATATAATTTTTCATATTTTTAATGAATTCAAACTTGTTGAAATTTATTAATTTTGAATTTTAATATGATTTTTTAAGAATTTCATGATACCTGATGATATATATGTGGAATTAACATCTTAAACTATGTACATATTTAATATTTGGTATGAAGATGGAGAAAATATGCTTATTGTACACAATGCACATGATGGAAGTTTGCAAAATTTTGTTGCTATTAGAATAGATGCTTTCAAAGTTTTGATATGATTTTTCCTATTGCTAAACAACTTTTCATGGTACGTAATACTATGTGCGTTTTCAAGTTGTTTGTCTGGTTTTGACTTGATATGAAGTTTAAGAAAGTAAAGAACTTTTGAATCTTATGGTCTTAAGTAGAATG